TGGCAAGCAGATAAACACTCATTCCACTCAGATATGTATTATTTCCTTCCCTCTCTTTCTCTTTCTCTGCCACCACCAAACATGATAAGTCTTTGCTTTTTATAGGCGTCTGTTTGAGTTTGTGCTAAGATGTGGACACGCTTGTTGAATTGTTAACTCAAGCCCCAAGGAACAGCACAGTTAGGAAAATGTAAAGATTGTGATTAACCAACTGATTCCTGGTATGAATCAAGGTTGTTTGCAGTTGATTTATTATTATTTTAATTTTAGTTGCTGTTAATTTAAGGCTGAGAGCTGGAGGGGAAGGAATTGGCACAGACAAAACTAAGTAAGAGATCAACTGATGTGGGTACTTTATTTGTATTTTCTGGACTAAAAGCCTTTGATTTAGTCATACCCTGTCTGTAGCTACTTTTCAGCACAGACACCCTGGGGAGACAGGAATAGCAACCAGAATTCCAGCAGACATTGTAACTAACTTAAACCAATAGGGATACAAATTCCTAGAGATACAGCACTGATTATAAACATCATGTTACGGAAACGTAGAAATTAGAGGTAGAAAAGACCCATCCACTTTGATGCTCAGTGCAATATTATTTACTAAAATATTATTATTATTAATTATTATTATTATTGATTATTTTGTAGTAGCATGTCAGAGCCCCAAACAGCAATCAGGGCTCCACTGGGTTGGGTGCTGTACAAACACATAATTAAAAGAGCGGCCCTGCTTTAAAGAGCTGACAGGTTTGATTCAGAGTACAGCTCACTTTGGCCTGATCAACAATGCATGGGAAGGTTGTAGTCAGATATTCAACTCCAGGTATGCAAATTACGTAGTTGGTGTTGACGTATCTTACATCACGTTGGCTTCCCTTGTGAGGAACCAGAGTACCGGTGCCAATGGGGGCACACTTTGTATTCGATCTAGTAGGTTTACACTAAATCGAACCCCGGAAGATCGACTGTGGCATGTGAAGACACTACCACAGTTGATCTTCCATGTAGTGTAGACATGCCTAGAGTGCTTCTGTAATGCCAACAAATGAAACCAAACCCAGGACCTCTGGAGTTTAGGGCATGAACAGCTACCGCTTGAGCTAAAAGCTAAGGAGAGGAAACTTGTTCTTTCTCCCTATAAGTGGCCTATGTGCCACTACATGGGACAGTGAACTACACACCTAGGGCTACACGCTCCCCCCAGCCAAAGCAGCACGTCCCAAGCTTCAGAGATATCCCAGTTGAAATCCTGGACAAGCCCCGCTTTCAGCGCCAGCACCTGGAAAGTGCCCCAGTAGAGTGTGATTTGTGAAGTGCTCCAAAGTGTTGTGCTCTAATTGCCCCATGTAGATCCTGCTAGAGCAGTCTAAAAGAACCTAGTTCATGTATTTAATGTACTCTGTTAATGCCGAAAACTTAGTACCTTGAAGGTCATATCAGCATGGGGTGGGGTGAGGGGGAGATGTTACAGTGCAACAACACAGATTGCTTTACAAATCACTCCCCTGAGATGTGCTTTCTTGCATTGTGTAGACAAGCCCTCTGACTTGAAAGGTTACTGCACTTATTAGGGATTAATAACATATTAGGCACACTCATACAGCAGTTTTGTAGCAAATGGGATAATCTTTCACCACAAAACATTTGAGAAAATGTTATTCATTTATTCTAAACACAAGCAATTCATTTAAAAAATATTTTGAGACATTTTGATGTTTATTAATATCTTAAGTCAACATTTTCTAAACTTTTAAAAGACGTGCCCTTCTTCAGGAAAAGGAAATTCCACTGTATGGTATTAAAGGCCATCCCACAAGAATTTCATCTTCCATGACCCTGCCTTCCACTCGTCTTCACACTTCCCTGAGGGGCTCTCCCCACACACTTTGGAAAACACTTCATGAAAAATAACTTTAGAAATCCCCATTTCCCCTCCTCCTTCCTAATATCTGACTGGTGCATTTTGACTTTTTAAAGATCTGGCTGCTATGAGGAAAATATATTTTCCAACTCAGGCTTGTCTAGGTCTCAGTGCATGTTGTTGTTTTCTGTTGAATTATCAACAGTGTTTTTTTGTATCACCTCTCTGTGCTGTTATTTTTTTCTCTGCTCTTCCTTATCACAGTTGAGCTGCGTTAGTATAACATGTTCACTTTAATACTGCATACACACAGTCTTCCTCCTCGGTTAAGAGATGGATCTCTTTGTTTTTTGAAATACGTAAAGGAGATGTAGGCATGTGTTCTGTCCTTGTAGTCATCTATTTCTACTTTTTACGAAGCCAAACAACAAAACGCAATTCAGGAAGACACAACAGCCTGTTTTTTAATGCAGCATCAGCACCTCTCTCCCCCACACAGCTAGAAATCTTACTTTTCAACACTTACTTTGCCTTTCAGTCATGACACTGGTTTCCTTGGCAAAGCACATTGAGATCTATCAGGGAAAAATGCTGAAGAAGAGCCAGGTGTTAAGAAAGGTGCAATTTGTTTGGTTCTTGTTTGTATTGTGGTAGTAGCGAGAGATGAAACCAAGATGGGGCCACATTGTGCTAGGAACCCACTCCCCACTTCCCCACCTGAGTCCCTACCCCCAAAGGAACTACGGGTCCAGAGGGTGCTACTGCATCCACTGGCATGAAATGGTGACCTATCTATTCAGGGTTTACACACTGGTTCAGTGGCTTTCAACCCACCCCCCACTACACAAAAATCACAGCACTACTGGAGGAGCTCACAATCAAAATAGGTAAGATAGATGAAGGACAAAGCTGGGAATAGACTCCAGGTCTCTTCTGATTCCCAGAGCAGTTGCCTCATCTACTTCACCAAGCTGCATCTCTACGTTTGCTCTGGCTGCCTTTATTTGTTAAATAAATGTCTAAACTTAACTTATTCCAGCTTTTATTTTCTGTCACATTCCTCTGGCAAGGTTCATGCTGCAGCAGCTATTCAGTGTGGTACTGGCATTGAGTCAATTTGACATCTCTTGGGTCAGCCATAAAAGGGACACCGTAAATTGTCTGCTGTTTCACTGGGTGATGATACTCTTCTCTGCCTCCTGTTCTGATCCTCCTGTGCGTGGTTAAACAGCTGTTGTGAGCCACCTCCTGGTTTCATTTTAGCAGCAGGTTAAAACTACTCTGGCATGTAGATGTTGCTTGTGGAGCATTTTGGGCTCCTTTGGGATCATTTAGTTGTGAGTGTAAACAACGCTGCTAGAATTATTATAGTAAGGAGAGGTTCCACTAGAAGCATCATGGCAATAGATTTTAGAACAAGCCTGAACATAAGGCAGAGAATTTGAACAAACTTCATGATTTCCAGCCTGCACAAATAGCTACTGGTAAGTCTGTACCTTAAATTCAGCACATTAGCAGTAGATAATATATACTATGAAATATGAAGGACATGCTGCATTTCGGTTTGCATACATGTATGCTTGTGTGTGCATGTGTGTGCACTCATGTGGGTGCAAACTGAACCCCAAGCTGGAATACCTCTGTACAATAAAATACAATTTTATAGCCCCTGATGTCTTCTGCCCATTCACTGCCTTTGGTTCAAGGGAAACCAAGACCCATGCTGCACCTGAAATCGTGCTATCTGTAGTATGTAAAGAAACTTTTGGAAAAGGTTTTCTGCCTTATTTTCTGTCTCATTAAAAGTAGCACCAAGTGATAATGCACATCAGAGACAACAATTAAAAACTGCACAATTGGGCTCATGGTTATCTGCAAGGTCAAAAAGTAGTACAGCTTGTATCAGTGAAGGTTCCAAAGTTCTCATTAGTACTTACTACAGAGCCAGAATGTGGGGAAAAAACCAAACACATGGTCTAGTCAGTTCTGAAACATGGACGAGCCCCAGCCTAAAACCCCTTTTAAGCCCTAAAGACTGCTCCTGAAGTTCAGTTTCTTACTAACACAAAGCAGGCTACATCTAATTAATGTTAACCTTGAGGCATTGAAGCTATATCTACACAGCAGCACTATTTCGGAATAACTGACATTATTCTAAAACAACATAGTCCGTGTCTACAAGCAGTTATTTCTACATAATGTTGAAATAATGTCGAGCTGAAGGACTTCTTACTTCAACTCATATAACCCTCATTTGTACAAGGAATTTGGGAAGTCAGAGGAAGCGTGCTCTCTCGGACTTCCTGATGTGTAGAGAGTGCCAAAAGCCAAAATAAGCTATTTCCACTTAAGTGATACAATTGATGTAGCCCAAGTTGCGTAGCTTATTTCGGTGTTAGCTCTGCTGTGTAGACGTGTCCTGACTGACAAAAGCCAAGGAATTCAAATTTCATGCTGGCATCCTGCTTGATTGCAAAATATATTCTGAGCTATAGGTCTCTCCAAATTGGATTCTTCTCTTTTTGGGATACAACCTTACTTATACTGGTTCAAGAGGACATTGCTCCAATTTTCATGAAGGACCAAATCGGAGAAAGAATATCTATTATTGGATCAGTGGGCAAGAGTCAAGCTTAAGTTTACACAGAGCTCTTCTTCAAGTCATTTACCTTGGATCTTTAATATCCTGGAACCAATATAGGTACAACACCACTGCATATAATCATTTCCACATAAAAATACAAATTACCTGTGGTGATTTGCTTTGTTCTGTTTCTTTTTCTTTTCCACCTTTTTTCCTCTATTTTCTGTTTTGTTGGATTAGCACCTGTCTCTCATTTAATTTTCTTTCATGCTCTATCTCCTGTCTTGCTAAAATAGCCCTCCTTTTGCATCCAGCTTTTCTGACTGTGCTTTACACCCATCTTTAGTCATGTGCTTCTGTCCCTGTCTTGACCTCCTTTTTCAAGCCTCATTTGTTTCCTTGCCAGGCCTCTTTACTTCTGACCCTTTCCAGGCTCCCTTTGATCTAGCTTGCTATCTCTCTTGCCTGCACCTAGTTTTCCCTTTCTCTTTCTCAGTCCAAGTATCTGTCCGTTTTCCATTCCAAGAGTCCTGCTGGCAGAAGACGACATTTCTGAGGAGAGCGGGTTGCAGAGTTGCCTTTGCATTTCTAAAATGATTGGTGAGGGTAAGAGCATTTTGTGCAGGCAACACCTAAGGGGCTATAAAAACAAACATCTTTCAGAATCGGGGAGAGGATAGAAAATGACAGTGTAATCAAGGGACGCCACCTTATTCCTCTGAACTGTATGGCATTGATTTCTTCCTTTCTCTGCTGACAAAGCTGCGCCAGGCAGATTGCAGCTAAGGAAAGCACCCAATGCTGACGTGAGCCAAGCTAACAGGAGGATTCAAACATGATAGTGTTGACTGCAGGGCTGTGTTACAATCCGTGTACTGGCCATATACCCAAATGCCTGAACATTCTCTTCAGTTCACTGTGTCCTTGGATCATAGTCATTGGAGGCAGGACAGGGAGTTGAGACAGGCATTCAGCCTGCGCCAGGCTAACCAGGACATGGTATTTGCCTCTTTCAGCTCTCTAGACATTTCCCTTTGCTCAGTCTCATTCTCTTCTCTCGCTTGTTCCCTGTCCCTGGATCGCTTTATTGTTATTATTGTGACTGGCACTATCAACTTCCCCCTCCCTCAAAATGGATCTAGGTTTAGAACTGTCCTTTAGTATTTTTAATTTTAGTCAAAATCTTGGCAGCAGAGCGGCCACTGGGCATTTAGCCACCGCGAACAAAAAATGTGCAGCACCCCGATAAGAATTACAATGTTTTTCTTTCTGTGACTGGGACGCTCATGCAGCTACTGCCTGTGTGGTACCTGTGCTGTGAATAGATGAAGAATGTCAGTCTTCAGAGCTTCAGAGGGGTAACTGAGTTACTCTGTAAAAGGAAAAACTTAAAAAACAACAAATAGTCTAGTAGAAGCAAAATGCAGGACAATGTAGCACTTTAAAGACTAACAAGATGGTTTATTAGATGATGAGCTTTCGTGGGCCAGACCCACTTCCTCAGATCAAATAGTGGAAGAAAGTAGTCACAACCATATATACCAAAGGATACAATTTAAAAAAATGAACAAATATGAAAAGGACAAATCACATTGCAGAACAGAAGGGGGATGCGGGGGGGTGGGAAGGGGGAGGAAGGAAGGTAAGTGTCTGTGAATTGCTGATATTAAAGGTAGGGAGAGTGGGATGTTTGTGAGTTAATGGTATTACAGGTGATAATTGGGGAAACTGTCTTGGTAATGGGTGAGAAAGTTCAAAGACTTGTTAAGTCCTTGTTGGTAAGTGTCGAATTTTAACATGAATGACAGTTCAGAGGATTCCCTTTCAAGTGCAGATGTAAAAGGTCTTTGTAGCAGAATGCAGGTGGCTAAGTCATTTAGAGAGTGTCCTTTCTGGTTAAAGTGGCAAGAAACTGTTTTCTCTTTGTGATCTTGTCTGATATCTGTTTTGTGGGCATTAATCCTTTGGCGAAGTGTCTGAGATGTTTGTCCAATGTACATAGCAGACGGACACTTTCGGCACATGATAGCGTAGATTATATTTCTGGATGCGCAGGAATATGTGTTCTTGATCTTATAGCTCACTTGGTTAGGTCCAATAATGGTATCAGCAGAATGAATATGTGGACAAAGCTGGCAACGGGGTTTGTTGCAAGGGAAGGTACCAGGGTTGGTATTAGTGTGGTATGTCCTGTGGTGGTTGGTAAGAATCATCTTGAGGTTAGGTGGTTGTCTATAGGAGACTATGGGTCTGTCTCCCAGAGCCTCTTTGAGTATGGTATCCTGTTCCAATATAGGCTGTAGTTTATTGATAATGTGTTGGACAGGTTTAAGTTGGGGGTTGTAGGTGATGACAAGTGGTGTTCTATTGTTGGTTTTCTTGGGTCTGTCTTGAAGTAGATGGTTTCTAGGTATTCGTCTGGCTCTTTCAATTTGCTTTTTTGTTTCTCTGGGTGGGTAGTTGAGATTTATAAATGCTTGGTAGAGATCCTGAAGCTTCTGGTCTCTGTCAGTGGGGTTAGAGCAGATGCGGTTGTATCGAAGGGCTTGGCTATAGACGATGGATCGTGTGGTGTGTTCTGGATGGGAGCTGGATGCATGTAGGTAACTGTATGAGTCAGTGGGTTTTCTGTAGAGAGTGGTGTCTAATTTTCCATTGTTGATTTGTACGGTGGTGTCCAGGAAGTGGATCTCTCGTGTAGAATGGTCCAGGCTGAGGTTGATGGTGGGGTGTAGGTTGTTGAAATCTCTGTGGAATATCTCCAGTGTTTCTTGGCCATGTGTCCAGATCATAAAGATGTCATCGATGTACCGTAGGTAGAGGAGGGGTGAAAGGGGACGGGAGTTGAGGAAACGTTGTTCTAGGTCAGCCATAAAGATGTTAGCATACTGTGGGGCCATGCGTGTACCCATGGCTGTGCCGCTGATCTGGAGGTATAAGTTGTTCTCAAACTGGAAATAATTGTGGGTGAGAACAAAGTTACATAGGTCTGCTATCAGGTTGGCAGTAGTGTCCTCTGGGATAGTGTTTCTAATTGCTTGTAATCCGTCTTCATGTGGGATGTTGGTATATAGAGCTTCTACATCCATGGTGGCAAGGATGGTATTATTGGGGAGGTTATCGATGTTTTGTAGTTTCCTTAGGAAGTCAGTAGTGTCTCGGAGATAGCTGGGGGTATTGGTTACGAAGGGTTTGAGAAGAGTGTCTACTAACAAAACATGTAGATGGTATCATGAGCTTTCATGGTGTGGCGGGGTCCCCAGCCCCGCCCTCTCCTCCACAAGATTAAAGCAGGCCCTGAGGTCGAGTTCAGTATAATTCACTGGCCCTGAGGCCTAGTCCCGCACAATTCTCAGGCCTTGAGGCCTACTCCATGCCCTGAGGGGATGGGGTAGGGGGGTTTGGGCCCTCCCTCTCCACCGGACCCCAACCCAGGGCCCTATTAGTGGTGGGTGGTTCCCACCACCGGCTCAGAGGGGACTTCTCCCCAAAACGCGCTGAGCCCACTGAGGGGTTCCCTGCCCCTTGCCCTGGGTTGCTTCCTACCCCCGCCCTGTGGCCGACGGAGACCCCACCTGGCGAAGCCGGGCCGCCAGTGGCAGCAATGTCGGCAAGTCCCGTGTCTGGGGCAGCAGCGAAGGGGTTGTCCACTGCGGCAGGACGGACGGCCCCCTGGAGTCGGTGTTGCGGGCATGCTCAACCCGGGGACGGTAGCAGCAACGGTGGCGGTCCCAACGGCTCTGGTTCCAGCAGCAGGTCCGGCTGTGGCTCTGGGGTTTGGGCCGGAGCTCCTTCCTCCCCGGAGGTCAGCCCCAACTGAGCAGCCCGGCAGCCTTTTATACTGAGGCTGCACTGCTGTGGGGGAGGGGCATGGCTGTGGGGGAGGGGCATGTTCTACCCAATAGACGGGCACTCCTCCCCCCTGTTCAGCGTGGGGCAGGCCAGCCCTGTCACACATGGGCACAGCACACTTCTTCAGCTGTCAGTCTAGCACTGTATTGGGCAAAATGTTTGACTGGTGTGGGGGGAGCCCTCTCCAAGATTTTGGTAAGTGGTCAAGTACCACACTTTTTTATGGAGGAAGTGCAAAGTCTGGATGGAGGTTGGGTGCAGAAGGGAGCTTGGGGTAGGGGATGGGAGTGCAGGAAAAGTTGTGGGGTCTGAGAGGGAGTTTGGGTGTAGTGGGTTGTGACCTGGAACAGGGGATTGGGGTGCAGGAGTGAATTTTGACCTGGGGGAAGGGTATAGCAGGGGGTGCATGGCTTGGGAGGAACAGTGACCTGGGACATGATGTGGGTGGAGAGGATTTGGGAGGTGATACAGGTATCATTTCACAGAATATGTAATTTAAATGTGTTATAATTTTGTCACCTCTAATCTATAGGAGAGGCGAATCCTCCAGCGCTTGCATAAGCCTTGATGAGAAGGGTCTGTGGACCAGTGTGCCGGGGCCATTTAAGGCCCAATAATCCACAGGCTTTACTGGAGTCCAACTCATTTATGTCACGTGGTGAGTACATTCAGATAGAAGCAAGTTAATATTTCTGCATAAAGTAATTATGTGGCCATCTTGTATCTTACATTTCCAGTGCCTGACCTTTGTTTTTCCCTCAGGTATAAAAGTGAAGCTCACTTTTAAGTAGAGCTGGTCAATAAAATACTTTCAGTGTCTAATACAGTGTCTACTATGTTAATTTTTGTGGAAAATTTCATTGATTTTACACTGGGAAATGACTAAAAATATTCATTTCAGGTCAGGACAACTTAAATCAAATCATTTCAGTTTGTCAAAATGAATTGAAACATTACAGTTTGGGTCCGTTCTACAGAAAGCCGTGTTTGCCTCATCTGCCACCTTGTCCCATAGCAGATAAGTTTGAGCCTCTCCTGTCCACAGTTTCTTCAGTGGGCTGGGCTTACTGATGCATCATGGGAGCTCTTGGCTATGATGCAGCAGGGGAGCCAACTCCAGTAAGGCAGCATAGGGGAGCACAGACTATGACAAAGAAGTTAAAACAACATTCTGAATTAGGAATGTCTAAATGCAGTTGGATTGAAACTGTCAAAACAAAACAGCTCAGTATTTGTGAACTGAAATTTTTCTGGACTATTCTGTCTGTTGATTTTTCTGTTTCAATATTGAGACTTTTTCATCCCAAAACCAAATCTCTAAAGATAGGAATTTCTGACTGCCTGGGCATTTTATTTTTTCTAGCTGTAGTTTTAAGTTTTGTTAACACTAATGGCTTGTACCAAAGAAGCATATTTCATGGTTTGGACTTTTTAATTATGCTAATAATTGTCTCTTTCCTGTGCCTCCTTTTCTGGTCTGAAAACCTTGAAGAAGCAACAGTACTGTACAAAGGCAAAAGCAGTAATAAGAGAGGCAAGGTCGCACATCTGCTGCTTTCCACACTTTCTTATCTGTGACATCAGAGGCGTCAAGGCCTTTCTATTCATTAAAACAGTTGAATCATTGCAAATGATACAAATGTACTAAATCTGTGGCCTTCTGCCTTAGTCATAATAGAGGTCTTCTTGATAGGGAAGATATTCTCCAACTAGACTGAGTGGAGGGAAGAAGAAATGAAGTGCTGCGTGTAAATGCAACAGGATGTTGTCAGTGTGCCTTGAACTAACAAACTGCAAAGCATTTAATAAAGATTAATTTCCTAAGAGGAGCACAGATTTATGGTACTGATGTAGGTAGGGGGAGATGCAATTCTATTCCTCTCCACAAAACTTCTGCAGGCATGCAATAGCTGCCATTTACAAAGATACTTGCATTGGTCAGAAGTGGGGAACCATGGATCTACTTGTGGTTGGTGCCAGTAGAAAATGAAATGTAGAAACAAGCCCCTAAGATCTGAGGATCACAATATGCTGGCATATAGTGACATCCTAAACAGCTGATACTGAATTTCTGAAAAATATACCTGATTTGTCACCAGATTTGTCATGAAAATATTTAGTAAGGTTATGAAATAATTTAGAGATATGATTTCTTTCTGGTGGATATAAATTCCTATCTGCTAACTGACTAGTTTTTTGCGTGTAGGAGTGTAACAGCTGGCAAGGTTGGTGTGATAACAAATATTTGGCCATGGGCCAGGTGGTGACAAAAAAATTACATGAAAATGAGTGTATTACAAATGGGTAAATCCATTTAATAATTTCACAAGTTTTTCCTACAATCGGGAATTTTACTTATTTGAAAAGAAAAGAAAGAGTTTTAACTGACAACTATTGGTAGCAGCTAGTAAATGAGAGGGAGTCCTATGGAGCCTTACTAAATGTTCCTTTTGATAAAGGCAATCATCCTTTGATTGCTAACATTATTCATAGGGTCATATATTTTTAAGGCCAGAAAGGAGTATTTGATCAGCTAGTCTGACCTCCCACATAGCACAGGCTGCAGAATTTCCCCTAGTTACCTGCTGGATCCCAGTAACTCATCTTTGACGAAAGCTAACTCTTCCAGAAAGGCATTCCGTTTTGTTATAAAGACATCAAGGGATGGAGAACCCACTAGTTTCCCTGGTAATTTATTCCAATGGGTAATTGCTTCCACTGTTATAAAATTGGACCTTCCGCCTAATTTTAATTTGGCAGGCTTTAACATCTGGCCATTGGTTCTCATTATGCTGTTCTCCACTGTTTTAAAGAGCCTGTTAGTACCCAATATTGTCTCCTCATGAAGATGCTGGTACCATAATTGACTCACCCCTCAAACATCTTTTTCATAAGTTAAACACTGCAAAGAATTTTCTTCTTTTGAAATCATTGTTGTGGCTCTTTTGCCAGGTGTGCTCCAATTTTAAACATCATTTTTTTAACTGTTCAGGGGACACTAGTATTAGTACCAGAAATATTGTATGGAGAGATAAAAATCACTTTCCTACTCACCACTCCTTGTTTTATGCAGCCACACAGTTGATCTGTAACTAAAGGGGGGCAGGCAAGTATATATTTTGTACAATGTGGAAAAATAGTACAACTACTTAGGTGCAGTATGTTTTTTAAAAAAATCTTTCTTTTAAACAACAGCTATTGCTCACTACTGGAGGAAGCAGAATGCTAAAACTGAAGAACTAATGGCTGATCTAAAGCTGGTGAAATTATACAATAGAAATAAATTGTGTTTTCTGTTTGTGAACCAAGCCTGATGTCTGTGTGAAGTCTTCTGAAATATATACCAGGTATTTGTAACAAGTAATGTACAGCATATTAGGTATTTTGTGAAAATTTCATCATAAATCATGCTATTACTGATATGTTATAGGTTGCCTTAAATACATGGTATTTTCTTTATGGCTTTATTTAATAAATAAAACTTTTAAACAGGAGAATAAGGAACTGCAAATAATGAATAGTAAACACTCTTGGTTATATGAAAATATGGCTATTCACATGAAGAATGCCTGTGCCCTAAACACCCATGAATAGTGACTAATAAGTACAAACTTGGTTGAACTGAAAGGTCATTAAGAATCTGAATTATTGCTTGGGAAAGCTGTATTTGCAACATTAGCTCAGAGGCCCTTTATGGAAAAAAAATTGTTTTTTGCGGGTGAACCTCCCATTATATATATTTTCCCCAAATTACTGAACCTTTGAAATCCCTTTCCATGTGACATTTCTGACTCTCACATGTAGGCAGACAGTAGGAAGACAGATTAAGAAATATGCAACCTCGCAGCATATAACAATGTCATTGTTGCTTATTGTAGCTGGTTAAAAATTGTTTTTATTTCAAACTGTTTTCAATTGGTAATTGCAGTTTTTCTGAAATCAAAATTTTTCATGGGACCATGTTGATTTTTATGAAATTGTCAAGGAAAAAAGGTCATAAGAAATTGCTTCAACTATCTTGTTTCATTTTCATAATGTCAGCTTTATCATTTTGATTAATTTCATTTAAGCCTTTATATTATATTTACAGTGTAAAGTTTATTTATATTTACAGATTTATCCAGTATTGCTTGAGTCCTTATTTTTTTAAATAAAAGGAAAAAGTACATACTTTATTTAAATAATTTTATTTTTCAAAAATACAGCTTTATTTTTATTAAGTTAATTTTTATTTTGTATTTTTTAAAAGGATTGTTAAAAATTTCGCATTTAAATTTTGTATTTTTTTTTAAATGGGCATGCCATCAAGTATATTTTTTCTTCGTCCTTATAAATGGTTATCATTTGCTATGTTTTAACAAAAAAAGGGCTATAGTCAATTTGGTTCCCAATAACATTTTCTTATAGTTTTCAAACCCTAACCATTGATTCAGCTGTTCCAAAAGACAGCCCCACTCCAAATTTCTCCATTTGATCTCTTTTCTGTAAGGTTTATTGAGAAGCAATTCTATTCCAGGATCATCCTATTTTTCTGACTCATCTTGGTTCAATCTCTTTCAACATTCACTGAGTTATTTCACTTTTGATTACCAGGATTTGACAAATTAGTCAATCTACTCACCCGTGGCGAGTAGATTTTAGCCTGGTGGGGCAGAGCAGCGTGCGCTTCCGCGTGGCTCGCCGCCACTTGGCGAGCCCTGTTGATTACTATACTTGATTTGTTGATTTTGACTCTTTTCTGTTTGGTTTTATGAAAAACAGTCCCATTCCAGGCAAATCGTCTCTGCTTTTCTCCATTATCCCCCCTCCCACATCTTTTGGTCTCCCTTCCTTTCTCACTCCACTAATCTCACAACCTCCATTGGAAACCCATTACCCACATGTCCTCCAGTTAGAAAAGCAAACAGCTAGAAATCTGTCCCCATGGGTCTTTTCTATATATGATATCCATGATATAATCTGCAAATTATTTGTGTAGTGTGTAAACTCCTAAAAGTGTTTGTATGCTGGGATATACTGTTGATTATGTAGCTCATTGGCTATTCCGCCTTTGGAAGGGGTTGTAGTTGCTGTTGAGTTTACTACAGCTCAGAGATTTCTGCTGCTTCCCAGTTGGAGGGAGAAGATTAGATTCTGTCCCCACCAGCTCATATGAAACTTCTTTGTGCACAACTTAGTCACTTGAACAGGACACTGAGAACAAGGTTTGCTCTATACTGTAAGAGCATAGACTGAGCTGTGGGGAAATCATAGATAACTTTAAAAGATACGCAGCAAGTGCTGAATGTGCTTTCCAAGAAGTTATTTATTCCTCCTCCTTATTCTCGTTAAATATAATTGGGGGTGAAGATCAGTGGAATCCTGTAGGGGAATGGACAAGATGGTTTCACAGCTACTAGGTCTTTCCATGTCTAATTACCTGCATGCTATGATTCGTGGTCACATTTTTGTGTCTGATAGTCAAATATAAAAACATAAGAATGGCTATATTGGGTCAGACCAAAGGTCCATCTAGCCTAGTAATCTGTCTTCCAACAGTGGCCAATGCCAGATGCCCCAGAGGGAGTGAACAGAAAGGGACTCATCAAGTAATTCCTCTCTCATCACCCATTCCTAGCCTCTGACAGAGGCTAGGGACAGCACTCCTATCCATCCTGGCTAATAGCCATTGATCGACCTAACCTCCATGAATTTATCTAGTTCTTTCTTGAACTCTATTAAAGTCCTGGTCTTTACAACCTTCTCTGGCAAGGAGTTCCACAGGTTGATGGTGGCTGTGTGAAGAAAAACTTCCTTTTGTTCATTTTAAACCTGCTATCTATTAATTTCATTTGGTGACCCCTACTTCTTATGTTATGGGAACAAGTAAGTAACTTTTCCTTATTCACTTTTTCCACACCATTCATGATTTTATAGAGCTTTATCATATTCCCCCCTTAGTCTCCTCTTTTCTAAGATGAAAAGTCCCAGTCTTTTAAATCTCTCTTCATATGGCATCCACTCCAAACCCCTAATCATTGTTATTGCCCTTTTCTGATCCTTTTCCAATGCCAATGTATCTTTTTTGAGATGAGGCAACCACATCTGTATGTAGTATTCAAGATGTGGGTGTACCATGGTTTTAAATAGAGGCAATAAGATGTTCTCTGTCTTATTCTCTATCCCTTTTTAAATGATTCCTAACATCCTGTTTGCTTTTTTGACTGCTGCTGCACACAATGAATGGATGTTTTCAGAGAACTATCCACAATGACTCCAAGATCTCTCTCTTGAGTAGTTGTAGCTAAATTAGTCCCCATCATATTGTATATATAGTTGGGATTATTTTTTCCAACATGCATTACTTTACATTGATCAACATTAAATTTCATTTGCCATTTAGTTGCCCAATTACTTAATTTGGTGAAATCGTTTTAAAGCTCTTCACAGTCTGCTTTGGTCTTAACTATCTTGAGCAGTTTAGTATCATCTGCAAAATTAGCCACCACACTGTTTACCATTTTCTCAAGATCATTTATAAATAGGCTGACTAGGATTGGTCCCCGTTTGGACCCTTGGGGAACACCACTAGTTACCTCTCTCCATTCTGAAAATGTACCATTTATTCCTACCCTTTGTTTCCTGTCTTTTATCCAGTTGTCAATCCATGAGAGGACCTTCCCTCTTATCCCATGACAACTTACTTTACTTAAGAGCCTTTGGTGAGGTACCTTGTCAAAGGCTTTCTGGAAATCTAAGTACACTATATCTACTGGACCCCCCTTGTCCACATGTTTGTTGATCCCCTCAAAGAACTCTAGTAAGGCATGATTTCCCTTTACAGAAACCGTATTGATTTTTACCTAACACATTATGTTTGTGTCTATGTGTCTGACAATTTTATTCTTTACTACAGTTTCAACTAATTTGCCCAGTATTGCAAATTCTTTGTTCTAGTAAAATGGGAGCCAGTCCTGGGGATGGGCAAACAACAGGGCTGCAGTTGGCCTCCCCTTAGGAATAATACTCAACCCTTTTCATCTGTGTCATGTGTCTCTGAGGTAGCAAACATCATTATTGGTATTCAAGGAAGGGGAAAGTGGCACTCAAGGTGAGGTAGCATCAGAGCTAGAAACAGAACCCAGGCTGCCTGGTTCACAAGCTGATGCCCTAGCTCTGCATCATGTACTTCTCCCTTGCCACGTCAGCAATCAAAGCGCAGGGGATGGGAACTGCTGTCAGAAAGTGCCCTTTTTGCTGTCTGTTAGAAAGGCGGTGGAAGAGGTGAGAAGAACAAGAAGCCTCATTGGGAGGGA